TTTGGGGGTGTTGTAACTCTGCTATTTGAGCTGCTGCCAGTGGTTTGGGTTTTAACCCATTAATAGCTTCTCTTTCACGTCTCGGATGAGGTAGACTCAAAAGAGAGGAGTATGCAAAAAGGGGGGAGTCCATTGGACTCAAATGAATGTCACATGCGAAGAAAGGAAAGGAAGTAACGTTAGAACTAACATAAAATAATAATAATAATAATAATAATAATAATAATACAATAAAATAAAAAATCAAGCTAAGCTGCTAACTTAGCATTACAGAAAACAAAACTTAGGATCTATCAACATCTAACTACCATCTTAAGAGTAGGCCTTCTACTAATAACCAAAATAAGGAACATGCACGATCAACAACTAAAAAAAAAGATTAAACACTTAGTGCGAGATTGTTTTTTTTTTAAAAATAAGCTAAAACAAACGAAGGAGTCATAATTCAATTATATTCAGCTTAGCTACTGCTGTACAGAAAAAGCATTGGGCAAACAATAACAAAACACTACTTTGGAGCCAAAAAATACACTCCTAATGTAAACCAAACTCAAAAGTTCCAACTAAAACTTATACAATCAGCGGTTCTATGAGAAATCTAGAACTAAACATGTACAAAGGGACCCGAGGAATTCAAATAAGAGAGGAAAAACAGAGAAATTGATTCAATTCAATTTAAAATAGCTATCAAAGCCAAACAAAGCAATGGAAACAATAAGCAATTGATCAATCAAAAATAGAAGACAACGCATGCTAAACTTACAATAAATCATGCTCCATGTCTCAAAGTTCCTTGAACAAGTGCAGATATTTGGTTCAAAAATGGGACATTCATAAACAAGAGAGGATATTCAAGCTTTGAAGAGATTTCATGTAGGCTTAACAGACTTCGAAACATCTTAAGACATTGGGCACGCTAAGCGGATGCCATTTATACGAGCGACGAAAAAGACAAGAAATAATTAGGAGCATAGTGAGCTTCCAACATCAAATTTTACTCTTAAATCTCTACACTTGAGGAAATAAATCTTGATCAATTGAATTAAGTAAAGGAGCAGAGAATTGAACAGGGATTGGAAACAAGAAGAAAAAGCACGACCAACAATTTAACTCGAATGAAGAAACTGCACCAAACTATATGAAACAGAAAAAATATACAAAACTAAGACTAACAGGGGAATAAATCTACCAATTAATCTCAACACATATCTTATCCTCCATCAAATAGAGTTCAACAACAGGTCATATTTGATTAAAAGGCAAAGAACTTGAAACGGAAACGAAAGACTTCGGCATTAAGGAAAAGAAAATAACCGGGACATATAAATGCACAAGACCTTTTACATCAAAACCACGGAGAAATTAACAGCTAAACCCAAAATTTTGAACAAACAAATTAATTACCCCTAACAAGACGCTAAAAAATGAAATCGAATAGCCGGAGACTTGAACACTTTATTAACCAGATTCGACTCAAAGGAGCAGAAAACTAACAGAAGGTAAGATTTTATTGAGCAATAAAAGAGGAGGCATAATAACAATTTCCAATCATGATTTTGCAAAGGGGAACAAACTTTGACCACATAAACTAATCTAACCTAACCAAAAAAAAGGAAAATGCATAAAGCTAGAAGATTAAACATATCTACAAAGCACATTCGGAAACTAATTGAAAGCTAACAAAATAAAAGAGAGAAAGAAGACTACCTAGTTCTGGGCAGCGAACTGGACGGGCGAGTTTGACGGAGACGATTCCACCCAACTCGAACAACCTCAAAATTTTAAACTATTGAGTTGAGAATTCCCGAACCTTTTGGGGGTGCTCTCAAGTCTCAAAAAACGCTCCCGCTGAACAGTGAGAGGAAGGCCTATTTATAAGGCCTAAAATCTCACAAAATTTGAAAAGATTTTCGATGTGGGACTGCTGCAAATTGAAACTCGTCTGAGAAACGATGTGGGAGAAGCTGAAATTTCCAATTTCCATTAGAACCTTCAAATAGTACCAAGGCTCGTGCCTTGCACACAAGGATGTACGAATTTGAGGGAGAGAAGAGTAAGTTGGGTCTGCGAATTTGGAAATTTGGGGCTCGGCTTGCCTCGTTCTTTGTTTGTTGTTGCCCTCGTATGCGTGTATGAGGTGAGTTGTTGGAGATGTGGGTGTTGTGACTTGTGAGAGTAAAGAAAAGAGTGATGGGTCTGGGTTGAAGGAATAAGGGTAATGGGCTGCTGGAGGAGGCTGATAATGGGCCACAGAATTGGGTAGATTCTGGCCCAAAGGTTCAAGAAGAAAGTGGCTAGATTCACAATTAAGAAATAGCCAAATGAATTAACAATTTAGCCAAACAAAATTAAGAAGCTAACCAAATTGAGTTACTTAACAAATTCGGCTAAAGCCTAAATAAGATGAATCAATATTAATTAATTAACGAGTTTCTTAATCTTAATGAAATAAAATAATTAACTTAATTGTAAATTAATGATTCAAAATTATAATCATAACTTAAACTAAACTAATTTAATAAACTACTTACTCAATTTAAAAATCTTTTTGAGATGATTTGAAATGTTTATAAAATATACTAATTATATACAAAACTATATAAAACATATATATTACTTAAAAATCATAAAATGGTAAATTTTAATCAAAAGTAACTTGAAAAATATTGAACTTTATAAAAACTAATTATTTCAAATCATTTGGAATTTAAGAAGCTCGGTGATTAATCTATATCGTGGAGGGCCAAAATTGGGTGTCAACATTACGCACAGTGACATTTGCCAATCCTGTTCCTGTTAGGAATCAATTTGATAAAAAATATACAGCCGCATGGCGTGGGTGGCATCGAAACTTGGCTGAAGAAGTTCCATGTTACCTTCTGTATTAACTAATTACTTGTCCACATTTCCTTTTTTAGTTGTCCCTAATTACTTGTCCATTTTGACAAATTAAGAAAGGATAATTTTTTTACCTATTAAACCCTCAATTAATTACTTTGAAAAATGTAGAACTTCTTGAAAATCTTAAGTTTTTAATTCATCCACTTCATAATTAAAAGAGGTAAATGATAAATTCATTATGTCAATTTTATTTTTTTTAATAGGTGTATCAATTTAAAAGTAGACAAATAATTAGCGCCAAAGGAGTAATTAATAGCATAGTCGAACATTATCCCAATGATAAGCCAAACGGTCTTCGTTTCATGCCCCGGTTGCTTCGTTAAATGTGTTTGATTAATACATATCCACATAAGTTATTTCATCCGTTTTTATTTAGTTTTCACAATTTTAGATTTCGTGTTTCTTAAGAAATTAGGTAAGTTTTTTATTATAATATTATTTAGTGATTTCTTAAAGTCAAGTTTTCAATTAATGAGCATTAATTAATTTATTTTGATTAATTAATTTAACCAACGAACAAGGGTTAATTACTTAATTTTTTTATGTTGGTCAAATTTATTGTTTCAAGGTTAATAACTCTCGATGGTAAAATCGAAAGAATAATATCATTTATTATTGATTTTGTGAAATGACAAATATTAAGGCACATATATTTTTAGTAAATATGACATGTAAATAGGAACATAGTATTTTTTTCATAGTAAATAATTTCCAAAGAGAGTGTGGTTGCTGAGTGAAATACTTTAAAATGAAGAAAAAGCATTTTAATTAAAAAAATCATGTATAAATTGATAATAATGTATGATTGTGGTGGGATGAAATTAAATGATGTCAAATTATAAGCGAATATAGGAATATCATCTTTTGCTTAAAATTAAGGTTGTCAAATACACGATTAAATTGAATTTGAGAGAATTAAATAAGTTAAAAGGGGAAACTTACGTAAATATAATATATTTAAAAAATATTTACCATGTATAGTAATAATATTTTTTTTCATTTGATCATTTTTAATACATTTATAATATAATACAGTTTTAATATATATACAGAGAACAATTTATTATTCACATATAATACAAGTTTTATTGATGAATAATACATTTATCACACATTTTAATACACTTATAATACAATGTGTCAATTTCTTACCAAACAAGCATAATATATTTAAAGAAACAATTATAATACATATATATAGCATACATAATTCACTTTTAATACATATTGCAAATTTAACATATATAATATTGCTATGTATTTAATATATAGTATTGCTATGTATTGTTATAAATGACAATAAATAAAAAATATCGCTAAAATCAATAATTATTTATTAAAAGGTACCATGGGTGATAACCCAACTCGTCCAAATTTGAACTAAGTTTTAAATTGAAAGTTTTATTTTTCTTATAATTTAGTTGAGTACATAATATGAAAAACCTCAAAATATGATTATATAAACACGAGTATCATATAAAAGAATATATTTCCAAATATATTTGGACAAAACTTCTCATCGGTCAATTTAGACTTTATATCAATCCAAATTTAAAATAGATTAAACTAAGCAAATCAAAATAACCTAATTAATAAAATATGCCAATCATTAATCGATTCAAACCAAAACAAATTGAACCGAGAATAATTTCATGGATTGATTTTTCCACTCCTACTTTAAACATGAGAATGTAATTTAACTTAATTGTAAAAATTTGTTAACAAGAATTTTTCGTATTAATGACAAGATTATTAGTTAATACTTCTCCCGTTCATTTTTAATTGTCATAGTTTTCTTTTTTAGAATCAAACGATAAGAACTTTGACCAACATTTTATGATGTATTTTTTCATCATATTCATATGCAAAAAATTACAATTTATAGTACGTATAATTTTTGAATATCTATTTCTTTTTGTTTAAAATATCAAATTAATATAACCTAATTTAATTTTGAAAATTAGTTAAATTAACTTTTATAAAACGAGACATGACAATCAAATGGACGGAGATAGTGCACTATTATGCAATTATCGACAATTAGTTTAAGTGATTTAATATAAAAAGACATCATAGGTTTTCAATTGCAAATTAATTCAGTGCTCGCTCTCTACTCAACTCTAGAAAGGCAAGGCATTCATCTAATCTGTCACACAACACAACACACATTCTTCATCTTTTCTCCGCCGCTTCCAAAATTCATACCAAAAACCAATTAGCTTTTCAGCAGAGAATTAATGGAGTTGTCAGCTCAACAACCACCAGCAGCGCTTAACCAAAACCGACAGCAAGATCATCAGCAGGCAGCTTATGAGTACTCCCCGGCGGCCGCATGTTTTATCAGATCAGTACTGGCGAAGATCATCATGTGTAGCAACAACAAAGGTGGTACTGGCAGAGTAAGCACCAGATCCCAAATGCAAGCAGAATTCGGAAAGCGTTACTATATGATTTTACTGGGAATCAATTACATGTGTCTCTTCTTGGGTTCCGTTTCGTCTAGTCTGCTTTCGAAATTCTACTTCAATCACAAAGGTGGCAGTAGATGGGTTTCCACTTGGGTACAATGTGCTGGTTTTCCTCTTCTTTTATTCCCAATTTGCTTTTTCAAAATTTTCACCGTCAGAAAATCGTTTACTGGGTTCACCCCTAAAATCATGTGCCTCTCAATTCTCATCGGGTTTTTGTTGGGTGTCAACAACCTTCTTTTCTCTTGGGGGAATTCTTATCTCCCCGTTTCAACTAATTCTCTGGTTTTGTCTACTCAATTGGCCTTTACTCTCGTCACTTCCATGATTATAGTCAAGCAAAAAATCACATTCCCGAATTTGAACTGTGTCATGGTTCTCACCCTCAGTTCAGTCATATTAGCCCTGGGTTCAAGTCACGACAAACCGATTGGATTAACACAGGCGAAGTACTTCAAAGGATTTTTCTCAACTGTAGGTGCAGGATTGATGTTCGCTCTTTACCTCCCTGTCATGGAGAAGATATACCAAAAAGTTGACTGCTACGCCATGGTCGTGGAAATGCAGCTGGTTATGGAGATAGCGGCGACGGCGTTGGCCACGGTGGGGATGGCAGCGGATGGGGGTTTCTCTGAGATGAAGACGGAGAGCTTGAAGGTGTTCGATTTAGGACCGAAAGCGTACTGGCTAACGGTGGGGTTTAATGTGGTGACGTGGCAGCTGTGTTTCATGGGTACGGCGGGGATGGTGTTTTTGACGACATCGTTAACGGGAGGTGTATGCATGACGGCGTTAATGGGGATAAACGTGTTGGGCGGAGTATTAGTTTACGGTGATCATTTCGGTGGGCTTAAAGCTGTGTCTACTTTGCTGTGTGTATGGGGATTTTGTTCATATATTTACGGCATTTATATGAATATGAAGGAGGAGGAGAAGAAGGAAGAAGAAAAGAAGACAGAAAATTGCAGAGAGAAGAATGTGAAGAAGATGAACAGTGATCATATTATGGAACTTGCAGAGATTGTTACGCATAACGCCTGAGGCTGATCACGTGACATCTCTCTTATTTTGTTTTTGTTTTTGTTTTATTCGATTATAATTAGGGGTATTCTGGAGCTGGTTTATAACTGTACTCTAGTAGGGGTATCAGTAACAAGTGTTTGTATTCATGTTAATTTATGGAAAAGTAAGGACTAGAAGAGTGGAAGTAGTAGGAGTAATTGTTTAGGCTTTTGACCAAAAACAAAATATGGAAATGTTTGTTCTTATCTTTGTTTAATAAATTTAAGTTAAAAGTTAAATATATAAATATGTTTTTTAACTTGATCGTAATTGATATTTATGTTTTTCAATTTTAAATGTGTACAAGTAATAATTAAACTTGTATAACATGTTATATGGCTATCACATATAGATGTGAATTGTCATGTAAGACGTATGTGTTTGTTTGTTTTAATTCTATATAAATTTAAGTGTCTATTTGTGTATGTTCAAAGTTTGAGGGTATAAATATGATCATATGAAGTTAAGTTAGAAAGCATATTTATGTATTATGCATTTAAATAGGGATAAGGCACAAGTAATCTCCGTAGATTATGATCGAAATCTCAAACACATTAATTAAACAAGGGTTCTATTACACCCCCCTCCCCCAACCCATATTTTGGTAATTTTGTACATCTTGATTTGCGTGACATCCAAACATCTCTTACACGTCTCAACAACATAGAGTGATGGAGTGTGCCGCGTAAGGCAAAAAGTATACAAAATTGAGTTCGGAGGTAATCGAACCTTATTTTAGTTAAGATGTATCTTTGAGATTTCGATCACTATTTAGGGGATACTTCTGCCTTATTCCCATTTAAATATGTACGCTATGTTTGTGAGATTTTTTAAAACCATCCAATCATCTTTAACTTGATTGAGCTGATACAAATTGGAAGTAGATTTTGAAAAATTATTTCAAATATCTGATTGTCACGAATTTTGATTAAATTTTAAAGAAATTTGATACTTAAATATTTTCAAGTTTCTAAAAATTGGCTCAAACTAGTTTTTGAATTTCTGAGACTCACACTCACAAAAATTCAATTTTTTAAAAGTAAAATACATATTAAAACACAACTTTAAAAATTCAAATTTATAAATTTCAACATCAAAATATATTATGAAAATTTATAAATTTCAACATCAAAATATATAATGAAATAAGAGGTTAAATTAGGTCATTTTTTGGGTAACCTAACAAGGGAAAAAAATGTTAATACTCACTGTGCATATATGTGACTTAAGCTCCCCTTCAATTTATTGATCTTATCACTAACATAAATGACTTCTCATCCACTTCCATGAGCTAAAGATGGGACAAAATGATAGATATCTTTAATTGTGAAAGTTAATTATAAGATAATTAAGTTTAAACTTTGGTACTACAACCTTTTTCTTCATTCATTTTATCCCAAGAATAAATTCAAGGGCGTTTACTCACTATGTTCTATTTTATCTGATACACTTTTTTTTTAATCTATACATTATTAACTTTTTCTTTTAAATAATTTTTTTTTAAATTTTATTTAAAATAAGTAATCTATTTTTTATGATTTGATTTTTAAATCAAATAACATCGTATAAATCGGAAGAAGGGAATATCACCAAATTAGGTGCGTTTTGTCACTCTTTTGGAGAGGTAAGACAAAAAAAAAATGGAATTGTCGTTTATTCAAGGGAAAAGGTGTCTCTCATTTTGCCAATATAAGATTAAGACATTTCCAGTACTTTTTCATTATGCATGAACTTTTCAATCAAAAATGTTATTTAATTAATCTGTGTTGGCCAATTAACGAGAAGAAGATTAATTTGAGGTATGGTGTATGGTGGTGATATGATTGCATTTGTTTAAGTAAATTTGTCTCATCTTATGCACAAACCACCTTTTCATTATATTATATATATCTCGACCTCATTAAATACTCTTTAGTGCTCTATTGGCTAAACTTTTCTTCTCATAATAATTAAGGTTTACAATGAGAAACAGTTAAACAACAATGGTTTACTAATTTGTGTTGTAGTATAGTAGTGAAACTGTTTCATTCTTAATTAGAGGTTTTGGATTTGAACCCTGAATATAGAAAAAATTATGTTGGAAGTGAAACGCCTCCTGGATCTGTAATGCGCCATCCAAATTTAATTGAAACTTCAACGTGAATTCGAGACATGATGGGAAACCAAAAGAATAAAAAATATAACAATGGTGGTGGATGCACTTGTGTTATGTTTCCCTCTCTTTTTTCACTCCATTTCTTAATGGTAAATTTAAAGTACTCATGTCGCAAAAATGTACAATTTTAGAAATGAAAATGGAGTACTTAATAGTATTTTTTGTATGTGAAGTTCAATATCATTGACTACAATTATCTCATTACTAAGGATTGTCTATTTAGCTAACAAATCATATGAAACTATATATATATATATAACACGTAAAATTAGAGTGACATTTTCGTTACTAACTTTAAGAAGCACTTCAATAATGATGTGCTTATGTTTAAGATTAATCTTGACGGTATACCTTCACTTAGTTTAAGATATAAGGAAATGATGTCTTATGTTTATTTAATTTAGTTTAAGATATAAGGAAATGATGCCTTATGTTTATTTACAATTTAAATAGAGAAACATACTATAAAATCTCCGATATTTTTTAAATTACTTTTTTGGTGAAAAAAGTCATATAGCTCAAATCAAATAATAAACACAAAGGATTAAAGAAACAAATTACACATAATGCAAAGTTTTGGATTTGCCATTACTTAAAACATATATATGTTCATTATAATGAACATATTACATATATAACACCTATCAACCAAGGAAGACGTTATAGAGGAACAAAAATGTTTGATTCAAGTCAATAGCCTTGAATATAGAACTTAATTAGAGCACGTCGTTAATTAACCCAATTAAATATCTTTTAATTAGTTTTTTTTTTCCTTTCCTTCAGCATATTTGATAGGTAACTGGCGATTACTGTTCTGGATTTCATATCTAATTTTGCTGAAAAAACTAAGATGTTTCAACATACCGAATTTAATAAGGGTGTACCAAATATGATCTCTAAGTAAAACTTGAAATAAAAATAATGAAATAGTGCTCTAGCTAGATTTGAAGTGGTCTCGCACGTGGTTCTTCAGCCTTATACCAACGGCACAAGAACACTCGTATGCTCTTAATGGGTGCACTGTTATTTATATCCTAATTTTTATCAGTTTCTCAAAATAGATATACTATACATATATATAATTTTTTTTGAAGTTAACATGTGCATGTGCAGCCGAAGGTAGGTCCACCTCTGGTAGCAGCCAGTCACAGTTTTTTCATGAGCTTATTACTGTGCCTCAAAAGCATATTGTAAAAAAACAGCATTCTATTGTCCACATAAGATTAATTATTTTCTACAGTTTATTCTTTAACCTTATCTAAAATGCGCAAGAACTTGATATCTACTGCATGCATAATACGATAGAATTGGAATGTTTACCACTTGCGCAAAGATATTTTATTTTAGAAGCATTTTAATCTTAGTGTATTTATTTTAATATATGGAATTTGATTGCTAAACGATACATAAATTATTATGCTCTCATATGTCACTTCATCTTTGTAAGTATTTTAGTTTTCTTTTGCGCCTTATTGCTAGATGAATATTGGGTTTAGTAATAAACAAATGGTAGTGTGGAAATGACGTATCTCATGACATAGTTATAATCTTTCTGTTTAGTGATCGTGTGATGAGTTGAGTCTACATCAATAATGTCCAAAAAAGGTTAATTTGGGGGGAAAAAAAAGGAAGAAGAGGAGCAGAGAAGTGAGAACTATATGGTTTGCCTTCTGAATTAAGCTCGTCGTACTAGGTTTGTCTAGTACAAGGTTACCTCTCCTTTACGATTTGCTAGCTATGGCATAGAATAATTTTTTTACCTCTCCTTAGCTTGAAGAATGAAGGTACCAATCAAAATATATAGCTTGCGGTATTTAAGATATACACATTTTTTTTGAAGTTATCGAAGGCACGTGACTCAAACCTAGTCTACGGGTAGTTTTGCCTTTGCTCATCATCCACAAAGACTAACAAAATAAGCAATTGATTTTAAGCAAAGGCAAAAGAAGCTGAGATGATTTAGGAACATTATATTAGAATTCATAATGTAAAGAAAAAGAAGTAAACATTAAAAATGTTAAGGGGATCAACATCAGTGGCAGGATTATAAAAACTTATATGTATAGTGTAGTTTTTTAGTGAGTCTAAAGCTTTATCTTTGCTAAATTATATTAGTATCTCTCGTTGGCACGTAAGTGCGATTTCAATTTATTTTTTCGTATGATCTTGGACAAACCAATTATTTTGAGTTAACACGTTTGAGATTGAATTAGACTAATTAAATGTCCATTTTATTGTGGTTTTAGTACATGCATGAGTACTTATTCATTCTAGCTTGTTTCACCCGATTTGGAGTTTCATATCACACTCCAATGCTAGAAATGAGGTGGTTTTAGTAATCCCACATTCATTAATAAAATGGCAATAGTCTCGAATAATCAATAGTCCGTATCCTTTGATCTGATTTTTAAGGTTAAGGTTAAGTTCTAACTCGATTTCCTTATCAAGCTACAAGTATGAAGAGAATATATATGTTCCAATGTTCATTTTCTCGAATATAAATATATTGATATGAAGGGGTAGCTAGGGAGTAGTGTGTATTACAGCAAAGTTAAAAGGCCGCGCACGCTTGTTTGCTATATGCCCAAATGTGTGGTTGGGTAATCGAACCCATCACCATTGCTGCCTAATGGATTCCTTGCAGTTTCCCTTGTTGATACGATACTTTGTCTCTGATACAGATCTAACAAAACATGTACGATAATTTTAATTCAAATCATGTATTATTATTTTTTTAAAAAGCATAAATTCATACCATTCAGAACTTATAAACTTAAAATTTTGACTTTGATTTTTTATTTTGTCTGGTAGTTGCAGCTTATAAAGATCTTGCAAGGAACTGATGAATTTTTTGAAGATTGTATGGTACAAGCAGGGCCTGGTTTTGTAAAAGAAAGGTATTGTACCTAGGACTATTTTTAACCTTTAATTGGTTTCTCCTTTTCGTACAGTATCTTCAGTATAGGTCCATCCACAAAATTTCACCTGTACTTTTATTTGATTCCATACATGTCACGTCACGCGTACAACTTAATTCTGTAGCACTCAAAGGAAATGGAGACTGTCCATTGCCCAATGGGTTTTAAAAGATATTTCTTTCCTTTAAAAAAGAATGTTTTTTTTTTCATTTTAAGTTTGTTTTAAAAAAATTATTTATTTCCTTTTTTGGTAACATTTTATTTTATGTTTTCCACGTGACATGTTTAAAACCACAAGATTAAAGAACAATTTCGTACATTTGATATAACTTTAATTTAGGATCACAAGATTCAAAAGTCTTCTTTATTTTTCTTAAACTCCGTATCAAATCAAACTAGACAACTCTTTTTGAAACGGAGGGAGTAACTATTTATGAATGGGCTGAAAATGGAAATTTGATTCATTTCGAGACCTTGGCCCAGATTAATCTGGTTTGGCCCACAGTGAAGAATGAGTGAGGTAGCGCCATTTGGGCCTTTGCTTCATTGGTTGGTAGTGGTATGCATCGGTGAGGGGTGGGCGTTTGAATTGAATTTGAAAATTTTAATTGAATTTTTTATTTGAATTCAAAAATTTCAAATTCAAATTCTAGCCATAAAGGTAGGATTGAATTGTTTTTTTATAGTTTGATGTTAGATTAATCGAATGGATTATTTTAAATTTTAGTGTTTGAGTTTATAAGCTAAGTTTTCACAAAAAGGGCAACCTAGTAAAGTATTGATCACACAAAATTGTCTTTTAATAATTTCTCATCCCATGACAATCATGTAAATAAAATGTTCATTCAAGCCATGAAACAATTATCGAGGAAGTTCTTACTCTAAACAAATTAAAATTATGTTTTAAATAGACATAGTGATCGTGAACATACTAATTATTTGATTCTTTGGTAGGTGGTTAAAGTTAAGATGTATTAGTTATGTGAGTTTTTAAATTATTAAACAAATGTCATATTAAATCTCTACATAAATAACTTGAGTATTTTTTTATCTAATACTGTATAAGTTGTACATAAATAAGTTAATTTGTTATGTGGAGTTGTAGTGGAGATGTTGTCATTGGAACTTGGAAGTGGTTGGAGGTGATAACGGCTTCATGAAAATGGTGATCGGGATTCAGGACTATAAAGTCTATGAAATTCTTTGTTTTCTAATATAAAATTTTATTCTTACGCAAAATCGAGATGAAATGATTCGATTTTCAACTCTAGTGAACAGTTCCACTTTGCGGCAAAATGCAACATTCAAAATTTCTCACTTCAATGCTACTGAGCTATGTCATGCTTCAATCCTCCAAAGACTCAAGGAACCAAAGCCTATTGAACAAGTTCATGCCCACATTGTTATCTCTGGTCTTTCTCAGAATACACGTCTTTGTAACAGACTGATGAATTCATATGCATCATGTGGAGTTATAACACAAACCCTCAAAATATTTTCTCTGTTGGAACACAAAAACTTAGTTTCTTGGACCATATTGATAAATGGGTTTACAAAAAATGGCTTTTTTCTTGAAGCTATTGAGGTGTTTGGTAAGATGGTTAATGGTGGGTTAATGCCTAATGCAATCACAGTTTCAAGTATTTTACCTGCTATTGGAAAGTTGAGGTTGAACCTGATAGGGAAATCACTTCATTGTTATTGGGTTAAGCAAGAGTATCCATGTAATGTGTTTGTCCAAAGTGCATTAGTTCATATGTATTCGAAATTGGGGTATCCCATTGCTGCCAGATACGTGTTTGATAGTATGTCTGAGAGGAACATTGTGTCGTGGAACGCGATTATTTTTGCTTATTCTAATAATGGTCTGGTTGAGGAAGCAATTCGACTTTTCAATTTAATGAGAAGGAGCTTGTCAGTGGATACGTTTACGATAATGAGTTTGGTTTCTGCTACTTTTGGCGTTGGGGATTTACAAATAGTTACTCAAGTACATGGTTTAGTAGTTAAATCTGGTCATTATAACAACCAACGTGTTGAAACTGGTCTAATAGAGATGTATATTGGTGTAAACTGTGTTGATGATGCTTACTGTATATTCTGTGAGATGCCTGTAAAAGATGTAGTTGCTTGGACATTGATGTTAACGGGGTTTGTGAAGAGTGGAAACTGGAGTATGGCGGTGGAACATTTCAATCAGATGATGGCAACGGATGAGGTGGAGCTTGATTCGGTTGCACTGATAGGTATCCTATCAGGATGCAGCAGTTCAGGAGCTTTGCAGCAAGGCAGGAGGATGCATGCATTGGTGATAAAAATTGGTTTTGAAGGTGATACTTTTTTGGGATCATCTATTATAGATATGTATGCAAATTGTGCTGAGTTAGGTGATGCCAGATGTTTTTTTGAAGGGATGGCTATGAAAGATGCTGCATGCTGGAATGCACTGATTGCTGGTAATGGGATGCTTGGGTACGGTAATGATGCAATAGACCTTTTCCTGAAGATGAAGGATTTAGGTATAGATCCAAATGAGTCAACCTTGGTTTCTGTCTTGAGTGCTTGCGGTCATGCTGGGTTGGTTGATCAAGGATTGTATATTTTTGATAATATGGTAGCAAGATGGAACCTATATCCTAATCAAAAGCACTATGCATGTGTTGTTGACCTTCTTGGACGTGCAGGGAGATTAAATGATGCTTACTCAGTCATTAGGAACATGCATTTGCAACCAGGTGTGGATGTTTATGGTACTTTACTTGGTGCTTGTAAAGCTCATGGGAATATTGAGCTAGGTGTCAAGGTATCACAGAAGCTTTTTGAGCTGAAGCCACATGATGCAGGATATTATATACTTCTCTCGAATATTTATGCTTTATCTGGAAATTTGGAGGGTGTAAAGTCAACCAGATTATTGCTCAAATCGAAAATTTTGGAGAAGGATCCAGGCCTGAGCTCAATTGAGATAAATGGAGCTGTTTACACATTTATGGCGAGCGAAAAGGATCATCCCCTATATCTTGAAATTTCTAGGTTTCTGAAGGACTTAATCTTCAGAATACAAGAAGAAGGATATGTGCCTGATTTAAAGTCTGTTTATCAGGATGTGGCAGAGGATCTGAAAAAGGATGTTCTTTATCACCATAGTGAGAAGTTGGCCATTGCTTTTGGATTGATGAGAACAAAATCAGGAACAATCATACGGGTGACAAAAAATCTCCGAGCATGCAATGATTGCCACTCTTCGTGTAAATATATCTCCAAAGTTTTTGGAAGAACGCTTGTCATCAAGGACAAAAACCGCTTTCATGTTTTCCAAGGTGGGAACTGCTCATGTGGGGACTATTGGTGACAATATACTCTGATTAATCAACATTGACTTATCCCACGAAACCACCTCATCTACACAATTTCTGAGAGTAATTTATACTACTTAGTTTTGATGTTTACATCCAAGCCAAATGGTGTAGCATTTCAAATGGACCATGAACACCCATCAGCATCAACTTATCGTCAAATGATTCTGACCAGGTAGCAAAACTCCTCTTTCAGAACTCTCTTAGATCCACTTATTGGAAGAGAACTACTCTTCTAGCTGCTTTTATGGGACATCATTTGATTGGTTACAGATTTTAAGATATTAGTTTGACCAATGTATAATAGTGGAAAAGTAGTTTTGAAGGAACGAACCTCAGGTAAGTAATTGTCGTGTAAGTTGGAAAGGACGAAAGTAGTGTAATAGGCACTATTCATGTTGGATTCAGGTTGAAGCCGAAGGAAAGCAGACCTAGCAAATCCCTGATGCAAAAGCCACAGACACCAGTGTCAATCCAAAAGCGGCTGCCATGCGGCTCAACATGAACTGGGATTTAGCAGAAGAGATTGGGAAGCCGATGAGAGTGATGACCCTGAAGTTTCTTCAGCTGTGGTAAATGGATGAGATAATGCTAAGAATCTGTGCTTTTATATTTAGCAGTCTGTCTCTAGTATGTGCAATCTAGTGTAGCCTTAAGAACACCGATATTAACTTTATTTTTGGGAACACCGATAGAAGAGATAATAAATTCACTTTTTCTTTGGTAAATATTAGTTGATTAAGTCATGATCAAATTAGAATCGAGCTAGTAGAGAAAATTTTCAACTCAAATTTTACTTGTGAATTCTTGCTGGACTTGTTGCTCCCAGAAGCATTTTTTTTTTTGGTTGATAAGTTCAAAATCTTCTGGAGCTGATTCTGACTATGGACTTTTTCACGCAGGGAAATGGAGCTGTGTACTTGGTCTCTCTGCATTTTCCATCCTAATTGGCAATCTGTTGTGTTGATTGTGTTAGTGAAGGTTTCTCCATTTTATATCTGTAAGTAGTCTGCGTACATCCATTGCAAATAAAGCCTATTTCTCGAATATTAGCCAGTTTGATATTATACCATGAATCTAATTTTGAATTTTCTGATGCTCATGGGTAGGATTTCTTCCCGTCTACCAAATCTTGATGGACGCAGTTACATGGTACCTGTGCAAGTGAAAGGTAGCAGGTACTCAGTGAACTAGTCTAGGTTTAGCTAGCACCCAGACACCATCATTATATTTTTTTTAAAAAATATGATGCTCGTGGAATGAAGCAACTATATTTCATTTTGCATGTTCTCGAAGAATGGGCATTCATGTGCAGTGTTGGAGCATTGCTGTCTTTTGTTTGGAGTTTTATATGCCTACATTCTTCTATTCTCCATGCTTTGGTTGGCTATATACTTCTAAGCAACCGTGTGGCTGCACGTTCACTACATTATTTAATTTGTTTGAGCCTTTGAGGTCCAAACACACGAGTGAAGTTGACTTAATTAGGGTAAATCCTTATGTCAAAATATCAGCTCAATTGAATCAATGAATCTCCTCTTCAATCTACATTTTGTTTTTCTCTTCACCTAAAAATTTATACAACTATCAATTTCCCAACTCACTAGTTAAGGGGACTCTCTTGTGTGTCACCCATCAGACGACTTTGTGATTTATTATTAAAAGAAATTTTTTAGAATTTTTTTATTTGTTACTAATGGTAGACGTGGGTGTCTGTTACACTGAATTAGTCTTCCAGATTATCTATATTTTTTTGGTTAGTATTCAATATTTATTGGTCCTACTAATGGATATTCATTCTCAGAACTCGAACCTAAGACATCTAATTAAGAGTAAAGAAATCTCAACCATCTCACTACGCTTCTAATTGGTTCTAGAGAATTGCTAAAACTAAATCAGGTAGTGCATCTCATGTCATAGAAATTATCATCACTGAGTGAGAGTGAGAGACAGAGAACGTGGGAATCATAACTTTTAAGGTTTGAAAGACATGGCATCCACATTCTAACTCTACCCACCCCATTTGCTGCATTTCTCCTATAAATACCTCATTTATGTAACTTATTGTTCACCTCTCTTCAGTTTTAATTAGTTACTTTCAGCTTCACAATCAGCTCAAATATATGCCTGCCTTTATGGATCCTCAAGAATCTGATTTCATTGAAGTAACTGATCCCTTTATGAACAAGAGCCAGGGCAGTGAGAAACAGATTTCAGTGGATCCAATCTCCTTGAAAGAACCAAATGAACTTACAATCCCTTATTCAAAACCCAAAACTCTCAATATTCCTAAGAAAATCTCCAGCTTCAGCTTGCCAAATTCAACAACCTCATCTCCTGATTTTTCGAAGAAAAACCATATCAGTCAACTACCATCTCCTTTGTCATCATCAACAAATCATTTGGCTCGTCAACACTCCGTGGCTCTAACAAACCTTGAACGGTTAAGAGAAATCCAATTACGGAGGAGCAAGTCGTGTGGTGAAGGCAGAGCTAGTGCCCCACCTGAAGAATTCGATATTTGGTTCACCCCTAATAGTACCATTCAACAAGTACCAGAAGACAACAATAAGTACTTGATCAATAACAATAGCTTTTCCCCTGAATCAGAAATTAGCATCAGAAATGATGAAATTTATGAGAAAAAAACGTTTCAGGACGAGCAAAAGTTTAAATGTGGAGCGTTGTGTTTGTTCATTCCAGGATTTGGAAAGGGAATCAAACATGTAAAATCAGGGAGAAGGCAAGTAAGTGGTGTTTCATCGTCCGATATAGGACCACATGTTGTTTCAAGGACAGTTTCATTGGAGAAATTCGAATGTGGGTCGTGGACATCATCGGCAGCTATAATCAACGACGTTGGAGATGCAGCCTCCAACAACATGTTTTTCGATCTGCCATTGGAGCTCATCCGGTGCAGTAATGTGAACGACGACACGTTTTCCCCTGTTACGACTGGGTTTGTTTTCGATAAGGAAGTGAAAGGGGTACTCAAAAATACATCAACAATAACCACTTCTTCGAGGAAATCACATGAATCGACCCGACATGTTCGGTTTTCTACGTCGTCCCCGACATCGTACCCGCCATCACCTACGTCCTGCATAACACCACGAATGCTTACATCTAGAGAAGATTTCACTACATTTCTAGAAGCTCAGAGTGCATGATATTGTCGGAGAGATATAAAATTAAGTTTGTAAATATACCGTGTGATTTGGGGGCGAAGAAGATTCGGATAAACCCATACTACATAATCCCCACTCCTGAGTACTTCAGTAGAGCGTTTTTTTGTTTTGTTAAACCTTTGTTCATGTCATGTGGATCTTGATATATATTATATATAAGATTGAACGAGAACTCATGAGTGATACCAAACTGTAACTTATTGTATATGAGTAATCTGTTTTCAAAGTAAAACTCTGTATTAATTTAATTTATAACTAATTGTAACTTAGCTTAATTGATGCAGCCTAAGTATTAAACATCGTACTAATTGACAAATAAAGTTTGCTCAAGTGGTTGAACACCTTCCCTATCAATCGGAAGTTATGCCTAATGATAAGTTAGAACAATATTGATCCTCGTGAAAGAAAAGGAAAAAAAAAATAAAAAATCTTACCGTCCTTATGTTACTATTCATCGTCTGGCATCTTTATATTACGATTATTTACTTAAAAATAACATCTTCGGATACAAGATTAAAGCCGTTTAACCAAACGACCTAGTTAAGGGTGATTTGCAAAAATACGGTACTTTCATTATCACTATTTAAATTTTGATTCCATTTTAAGTATAGCAAATAGCTTGTGGGTTAGAATAAGTTCGAATGCAACAAGTATAAGTGAATTACCATGATAGTACAAATTGTATCGTGATCTTTGAAAAAATTTGTTTACGAATGTGGGGCGGATCACCAAGAACTTCTTGATAGATGAAAAAAAAAATAACTTGCCAAGTTACAAATTGTTCACAAGTTCACATCACCAAAACTTGCACACAAATGTGAGCAACTATCTTTTTATTTCAAAATTGATCCAAAATTGTGATTTTTAAAATGATAGAAAATTTAAAATTATAATATGTAGATTGTGAAATAGAAAAAAGGAAAATAATCTTTTCGAAATTTGTACATCATAACGAGAGGGAGTTGCTCGGATGGTAAGCACCCCTCACTTTCAATTCGAAGGTTGCGAGTTCGAGTCACCAAGGAAGCAAAAGGGGTGGAAGCTCCTACGAAGGGTAAAAAAAATAAATAAAAATGTACGTCATAGAGGGTACTTGCTTAGAAGAGATTTGGCTCCAGCAGCAGTTAAGCCCAATGGATTAAAGTTCACTGAGTCACTGACACATCAACTTTCCTAAAATGTCAATTTGCAATTGTTTTTTTTTACTACCTTTTATGGTAATGAAAAAATTTATCTTGTGGGATCGCGGATTTTACTTGGTGACTGTTTATTTTTTACCAATAATCAAAGTACATTTACTTCCTGAGATATCTGACAATGAACAAAATTAAAGTATGCGAAATACGTACTGTTATGTTCTATTATTGAGTTAATTTTGAGACGGTGATTTAACTGTCAATTTTTATTTCATAAAGTCATTTAATTTTGTTTAGTAATAAAAAATCAAGCAACTTATGATAATTATTTTTCAAAAATCACTTACCTTTATTTTGTAACAGGCTAATCACTTTAATTACAAAGTCAGTCAACCAATACAAAGTAATTATTTCCTATAGATGCTAATGTGGAAAAACTTTAGTCAAATTTTAAATAGATAAAAACCTATTTATTTTAATTAACCATTAAATAAACCTACTTTCCGGCATTATTATCATAATCACCTTTGCTGCCATCTTTTTTTTTTTCTCTCTCAGAGTCAATCACCAACTACGAGTCTACGACACTGGAAGAAAATGCACTTAACGGCTTAAACATGTACTAATAAAATTTGATTCCAATATATAATGACAAGAATGTAATTGATCCTAATTATTACTCCCCCGTTTCTATTTATTTGTCACCATTTTTGTTATGATTTTGTCCTGATTTTTTTACCTTATTTGAAGTTTAATTTTTTTCTTAAATAAAAATCAAAGAATTACCATTATTTAAACTTTTCCTAAACCGAAACTATAATTTTCTTTCATATTTGGTTTATTCTTTCCTTAGGACATCTCCAACCCTGTCCTTTATTTTACTCTCCAAATATAGAGTTTTCTATTTATTCAGAGAACCAAGTGCAACCCAATTCTTTATTTTACTCTCTAAAAATTAATTTTTTCTCTCTCCTCAATATTATATTATTATTACTATTTCATTCTCATTTTCTTATTTCATAATATAAATCTTTTCTCTTTCTTTTTTTTTCAAATAATCACTTTATATATTTTACTCTTCAAATATAGAGTTCTCTATTTATTCAGAGAACCAAGTCCAATCCAATTATTTATTTTACTCTCTGAAAATGAATGTTCTTCTCTATTATTATTTCTATTTCATTCTCATTTTCTTATTTCATGATATAATTATTTCATGATATAAATCCTTTCTCTTTCTTTTTTTTTTTCAAATAATCACTTTATATAATTTTTATTTAATATAGAATTTTATTTTTTCAAATTCATTGTTTAATATAAAATTTATTTTATTCTAAATTTCTAAATAACATAAATTACAAGCTAATACATCCTTATGTTTCAATTTATGTGACTTACTTTTCTTTTTAGTAATCTCAAACATAATGACACATATAAGTAAAAATTTAACTATAAAATGTATATTTTACCTTTAATGAAATGATTTACAGCCACACAAATTTCTATCATTCATTTAGGACCACAAGTTTTTAAAAGTCATCCTTCCTTTCTTAAACTCCATGCCGAGTCAAACTACCTCACATGAAATGGGACGGAGGGAGTATTATATAATATACAAATTAATTGACAATTCAAAAAAAAGTGAAATCATGAATGAAATACAATTACATGAACATTACATAAATCAACAAGCACAACCGTAATCACAATCACAATAGTTCTCGGGATCATATACTATTTTTTTCTCGAATATTGTTAAATCTGGAAACGACCTACCGGATTACAAAATTATTGTTGTTATAAAATTATTCTGTTATGTATTCATAATTAATAGGGATAAAATGGTAAACTCACTATGTCATTAATTATTTTTTAATAAGTGTGTCAATTCAAAATTGAACAAGTAATTAGGAATAGAGGGAGTGGTACTTTTTATTTCACAAAAGTAATGCATAAATAATATTACTCTTCCTATTTTTCCTTGAGAATTATCGACCTTGAAAGTATGAATTTGATCAATATAGAAAAACTAAGTATTCTATTCATGTTCATCGGTCAAATTAATTAACTTATGTTCATTTATTGAAAACTAGACTTCAAGAAAACACTAAATAAATGTACAATGATAAACTTATCTAATCTTAAGGAGCATGAAACCTAAAATTGTTGGATTCGAAAGTGATTAGGGCGTCATACGAAAGCTTACAATTGCAAATCAAATGTCAATAAATTGGACAACACATAAAACTTTACTCTAAGCCATAATATTATTATTTGGTATGACCAATTGGTGTACATAATTAAAAACATAAAAATTGTAGAGAGAAAATCTCCCCGTAAACACAACTCTCTAAGTGTTTACATTGTGGATGCTATTGTGTTATGTAGGGGTGGCAAATGGGTGGTTTTGATCGGATTTGGATGGATTGAATATGGATTGAGTGAAAATGGATTGGATCACAATCCAGCCATATAAAATATGGGTAAATATGGATTTGATCAAATATGGTTTGGGTAGAATGGTTTTAACCCACTTTAATCTTTTAAAGCGAAAAAAAAATTGAATCAAAACACTGTTATGTATGATAATAGGGATTTTCAAACTTTTCCTCTAAGACCATCTCCAACCCACCTCTATTTTACTCTCCATTTTCTATATTTGGAGAGTAAAATAGAAAACGGGCTCTCCAACCACACTCTCAATTTCACTTTTTGATTATTTTATTATTATTTCTATTATTTTGTAATTAACATATTATTTTTTATATAAGGTCATTAATGAAATCTCTAATATTCGTAATTCTTTTTAAATGTAATATAACATTTTTAAAAATATGTTATTTGATATATACTGCTTTCATTCCGAATTAATAATATTTCAATTCTTTTTAAATTTTCTTCACTTTAATAGAATTTGATATTATTATTAATTTCAACTATGAAGAATGCACAAAAGTAAAATGATAAGATGAAAATTTTAATTTAAAAATATAATACATAACATAATAATTTATATACAAAATAATAATACGGTTGCGTAGATCTCGAAAAAATACGCAGATTGAAAAAAAAATCGCCTGAAACGGATTTCCGAGGCCAAAGTCATGACCATTTGAAATTTCACAAATTTGCAACTATTATTTTCAACTTCAATCTTTAATATGGTGAATTTTCAAATGATCATAACTTTGGGCTCGAATATCCGTTTGACACAAAAAAAAAAATTGATTCTTCGTATTTTTTCGAGATCTATTTGAAAAACTCATCCTTTTTATTTGATTTTATTATTTTTTGTTCTTAATATATATATATATATATATATATATATATATATAGAATAATTAGAAGACGTTTTTTGAAAAATTGGCTGAACCATAGATCTCAAAAAAATAAGCAGATTGAAAAAAAAATCGCCTGAAACGGACATCCGAGGCCAAAGTTATGACCGTTTGAAATTTCACAAATTTGCAACTATTATTTTCAACTTTCAATCTTTAATATGGTGAATTTTCAAATGATCGTAACTTTGGGCTCGAATATCCGTTTGACGCAAAAAAAATTGATTCTTCGTATTTTTTCGAGATCTATTTGAAAAACGCATCCCCTTTATTTGATTTTATTAATATTTTTCTTAATAAATTTCTATTTATATAGAATAATTAGAAGACGTTTTTCTAAAAATTGGCTCGATCAAACCGCCTTACGGCAGTTTCGTTGCATAGATCTCAAAAAAATACGCAGATTGAAAAAAAAATCGACTGAAACGGACATCCGAGGCCAAAGTTATGACCGTTTGAAATTTCACAAATTTGCAACTATTATTTTCAACTTTCAATCTTTAATATGGTGAATTTTC